GAAAGCTTCCGCGGTAGACTGGAGGCTTAACGAGCCTCTAGGCTTAACCTACAGTGTTATCGGGGAAGCTTTCGCAAAATTGTTAGATTTAGCTAAAGTGGCTCGATTTTTTGGTGTTTTTCGTGATAATGTGCTTATTTGGATCGCCTTTTCGTTGTATATTCCGTTTCTTGCAAAAAATCAGCTATTGATCCAACAATTTTCAGCCAAATTTGGGCCCCACCTGTGGTTTGCTACATTTGAGTCATACTTCAGCCCCTGTGCTCTCAACTTCATCCCTAAATACAGTGCCTATTTAGGACCATATATACACAAATAGGGATGTCTTAACATTATGGGGGCCCTAAACGGTGGGGTTACACCTAGGATTCGGTCTACGATCCAACAGGAAAGTATGCCCGCACAATGTTTGGTGGAAACAATCGGATGTATTCCGGATTGGTGAAGTTGCCTTCGAACGTCCACTAGAAACGAGCGAGAACCCTGACCCATTCTCATTATGAACCCTACTTTATCGGAAAACGTTTTATTTATATGCATGGGATCCGTGGTGTCGATTTTGATAGTGAGTTATTGAGCTTTCATTGTGTTTTATGGATGAATGAAACAGTAAAAGACGAGGCCATGAGGATGGAATGCAATTGGCAAGTCATATAAAAAGCATGGTAACACATCGGGGGTTGGAGAACCAAAATATCCCCCAGGTGCTGCGGTTTTCACATGGGGAGAGTAAACGTACCCTAAATATGATCCTGAGCGGTTTAATTCCTCTAGCACCCTCACGCTTAAAAGCATTGTCCGCCCCACGCCTTTAGAACCCTTTGAATCTATTAATCTCTTCAGATAGCAAATCTCCCAACATCAGGATTTAAAATGCTGGAGAATTAGAACCTAAATTCCATATTCCATACGTCTTGAATTTTAAAAATCTCCACCCATACACCGTAGGACAATTTCAGGTTAAAAGATGAGCAGTTTCACCGAATAAACATGCACATTACTCCCAACCCCACCTGCTCACCATACACATGCATCAGGCATAATCACACCCTACGAGTCGTTTAAAAATGCTCTTGACAGAAAGGTTTAGCTTGCTATGAAATACCAAAAGCCTCGAATTGACTCAACCAGTGGAAAAAAGCACCTCCAGCTTCTGAAACGGTAAGCTCCATCTATTCGCATCGCTGGGCCAAGATCGTCTCAATGCGCGAAAACACTTGTTTCGTTGCCGTAGGACAGACCCTTGATAACAGTCCAGTAGTATGAGCGCAGCTGGCTTGGGGTAGGCGGGCTGACTGGATTCTGCTAAAAGATCGCATTCCACACCACGGATGTTGCCACATTGTATGAGGTCTTTGTGACCACATTGTTGTTATTGCATTGGGTGTCCTGCTTACTAAAATCTGAGATTTCGGTGGGTTGTTTTGTAAACATAACATAAGAACCTTTATCATGAGGCTCTGCAAGCGATTGATTCACCACGTTTGCCGATCCGCTTCCTCGGCGCCGTACCGGC